TTGATTGATTCCTGGCAAACTTGAAAAAAATGAGAAAGGATTATTTTCAGATGGCAACAACTGCAGTTTGGAAGAAAAGGAAACACACATTTGCATAAATCACTATTATTTGGTAACAAATGCCCTAATTTTCCCTTGTGGTCAATTTCTGAATTATATCCCAAAAAAATCAAATCAATAAAATACACTCACTTACTTTGCACACTTGTGTTTTTTCCTGGTACTCCAGTTTCCTACCACAGACCAAAAACATGAATGTTAAGCCAGCTGGTAACTCTATTTTCCAATGGTGTGAGTTAGTGGTACAACAGTACACTGACATCACTTTATCAACTAAATGATTATTAATTGAATTACATTAAGACACAATGAAAACATTGACCCATGTCATCATCATGTGTGAATCGATATCAATCACAGACTTGTGAACTGAACTGAATCAAAATCATTTCATGACAGACTTTGTGATATTGAGAATATTGCATTGTCAAACACATCAGAATATTGTATCATAAAGCTGGTGAGCGGATGAATAGTTGTCTCTATGTGCTCCTGTGATTGAAGTGTAACCTGTTCAATGTGTACCCTGCCCYTCACACTGTGACCGCTGGATATGGACACCAGTGACCCTGAAAAAAAGAAGCAGGTAAAATATAATGAATGGATGAAAATTAGTTCCTTCAATACTGAAATGATTCATGTAATAATGTCTAAAACACTCTATAACAGTGTTTTAGATGTTAGCTACTTTTAAAAGCAGATTCAGAGTGAGAAAAGCCTAAACACAATCATAATCCTAGTCTCCCCCTCTGAACCTATCAGATTATATGCTGGTGACTGTGCTGCAGACAACAGTTTCCCAAAAATTAATGTGACTGTAAAACTTCAATAAACAGACAAGGCAATAAGAACAATGAGGTTAAAAGAAGCAGAGCAAAAACCCCACAGAATTTAAACAAGATAGAAAACAGCACTGGGTGTAAAATTAGGATTTAGATCCAGTTAACAAGYTAACATCTGCTATAATGTTCAATAACGTCAGTATCCTCTGTGGAGTGATTAAAGCACATCATATATTAATGGATGTATGTTTCCTGTCACTAATAAATCAGAAGCATGTCCATTTGTTCAATCTTTTTCTGCCAATCTAAAACTTGCACATATATATAT